ATGTTTTCTATTATGTTTATACTGAAGTGTATTGATGTGGCTGGAGTAAATACGGTATGTGTCACTCCTACACGCTTTTCACTTAACAGCCCCAGCCCGCCACTGATTGCTTTCGTTTCATTCACATCACCTGTTCACTTGCACCCCCCTCTTCTCGGAAGACCCCCCCTCCCCACTACTTTAACCTACAAGAAGCTATCCGACTCGACCCTGCTATCTTTTTTCCCACACCCCAACTTCCCGCTTGAAGTAAATCCTCTTTTAAATCGTATTTCACCATTTTTTTTATATATATTTGTCTTTTAATTGCACGGGGTCCAAAAACGCACTTTTCCCTTTTCTTCTTCTTCTTCTTCTTCTTCTTCTTCTTTTTTTTTCTTCTTCTTCTTCTTCTTCACACTCACCCAGTCAGCCGTCAAGCAGCCTATTATTATTTTTATACATTTTTTTTCTCTCTATCATTTTTCTATGTATTTCATTTTTATTCCATCTTCTTCCTCTTTTTTCTTTTTTCTTCTTCTTCTTTGTCATTGTCATCGTCTTCTTCGTTATCGTCGTGGTTTTCTTTTTCTTTTTTGTCATCGCCTTCTTCTTCTTCTTCTTCTTCTCCTCCTCCTTTTCTTCTTCTTCTTCTTCTTCTATGTCATTGTCGTCGTCATCTTCTTCGTTATCATCGTCGTCTTCTTTTTCTTTTTCGTCATCGCCTTCTTCTTCTCATCTTCCTCCTTTCTTCTTCTTCTTCTTCTTCTTCTTCTTCTTCTTCTCTTCGTGGGTGATATTTCGTCTGTCTGTCATTCGATTCCTTCACCCTAGCCCTTACACAATATGGCGCTCACATTTACTCTTTATAAATGTCTTTACTTACTATGTCATTAATTTTCTGGCTATTTCCGATGCATCTCTTCCACTCTTTTTTAAACATCATATACCCCACCACCACCTCCACCACCACTTATTAACAACCAGTTTTCTTTCTCTGTTCAAGCCTTTCATCAGAAAACTCTTGTTCCTTCTCACAATGTGAAACACACTCTCTTTGTTCCCCTCTATCTCTCTCTCTTTATCTCTCCATCTCCCACTCTCTCTCCCTCTCCCCCCTCTCTCTTTATTTCTGTCGCTCTGTCTTCGGACGGTTTTCATCCAGTCTTTCTTTCTTTTCTCTCTTTCTCTATTGCTATGTCTTTCTATTTGTCTTTTTCTTTTGTTTCCTTAATAATTCTCATAAGCTATACTTTCTCATAGATTCCTTTCTTTTTCTCCTTTCATTGATTCTTTTTCTTTCTTTCTTTCTATTCTTCATTTCTTCATTCATTTGTTTCTTCCATTTTTATTCATTTCTTCTTGTATATTTCTTTCTTCATCTTCTATGTTTCTTTTTTTATCGCTGTCTCATTCGTTTTCTTTCTTTCTTTTTTCTTTTGTTTCTTCTTTTTCTCCTTCTTTCATTCATTTTCTTTTTGTTTCTTCCGTTTTCATTCTTTATTTCTGTCTTCATTCTTATTTCGTTCTCTTTTCCAATTATCCCTATTTTCTTTCGTTTTTGTTCTTTTGCTTCGTCTTATTTTTTTCTTTATCTTTTTTGTTGCTTCTTTCATTCTTTTTCTTTCTTTTTTCTTTTTCTTCTTTTTTTTCAACGTCTTTCTTTCTTCTTTATTTTGTTTCTTCTTTTTTCATTCTTTACATCTGTCTTTATTCTTCCTTATTTCTTTTTGTCTTCTTATTTCTTTCTCTTTTCCTTTTATCCTTATTTTCTTTCTTTCTTTATTCTTTCTTTTTCCATTTTTCTTTCTTTTCATCTTCGACTTCTTTCTTGCTTACTTTTTTCTTTCTTTTTTTTTCGACAGTGTTTCCGTCAGACTTTAGTGGTTTCCGGTCATTTATGGACAGGAAGCTCCCATCATAAAGACATTCTCCCGGGAATCCGTTTCCCAGTCATAAACGTCCCAGTATGCAAAAAATCAGTAGAAGCTGAATAATGTCTGCCCACGTGTGTGGGACTCGGGCTTAAACTGAACTTATTCGCCATCGTGGGGAGGCAAATAAATGTAAAACTTTCTTACAGTTTTCACTTATTTCTCATAATCAATTCACTTTTGACACACCCACTTATACACACCCACATACACGCACACACATATACACATACACAGGCACACAAACACACACACACACACACCCATTTTCTCTCTCTCTTTCAATCGCTATCTTTGTTCTGCCTTTCTCTTTTGCTCTTTATTCTCCTTTATTTCTTTACTGCAATCTAAAAAATCTTTTTCTCTCTTTCTTTCTTTCTCGACCGTATCAGATTATTCTTTATCTTTTTATGTCTTTCATCCACCTCACTCCCTTTATTTCTCTCTCTCTCTCTCTCAAACTCTCCCTCTCTCTCTTTGTCTTAATTACTTTTTCTTTTACTTTGAAAGCGTTTCAATTTGCCGCCCTTTTCGTGTTTCGCGCCAAGAACCAATCAGGACCCAAGGTTGGCCCTAAACCATCACACTTGCACCGAGATACCCAGACACTACCTAAGTCGGCTTGGCCTTATACACCCACACTTATTTTACTAACCCAGTCATCTCAAATACTGATTCTAAAGTACCCGAAATACCTTTGGTGCAAATGTCTATAAAAGCGTAAACATTTTCGTTATACGCTATTGTTATTGTTGTAGTTGTTGATGTTGATGTTGATGATGATGGTGATGATGATGATGATGATCTTAACGTTATAATAGTAGTAGTTGTTGTTGTTGTAGGTCATATATAATATTTAGGTATATATATCACACACGCACATACATACACACACACACACATATATATATATATATATATATATATATATATATTTAGTGTATAGGGGCAGCATATCATTATTTAAATATATATTGTTAAATATAACAGACAACGAATGTCTATTAGGTTTGATCATGAGCCGTTCTAAGCATCGTATAGTGGCTTTAATTTCGGTAGAAAATAAAGACAAAAACTGTCCAACATTTGGATATTTCTTTATTAGGCTGTTCCTCGATCTAAGCTTTCGGCTAACATGAGCCATCATCACAGTTCATATAATTCATTATCAAAGATGGTATATCCTGTTATGTTTACACAGAAGTTTGCTATGCGACGATAACAAATGCAATATGAATATCTTTGTTGAAATTCCCATATAGCCACTCATATGAGCCGAAAGCTTAAATCTTACATATAATAAAAATATATCCAAATGCTGGACTGTTTTTATCTTTATTTTCTACCGAAATTAAAGCAAATATACGAAGTTTAGAACGGCTCATGATCAAACCTAATAGACAAGAGATTAAGAGATAAAAGAAAGAAAAACAAACAGAAATGAAGAAAGAATGAAAGAAAGGATGTGGAAAATGTCATTAAAAAAAAAAAAGATTTATGAGATCAATTTCAAAAAAGAAAGAGAATGTTTATAAAATGCAAAGAAAGAAAGAAAGAAAGAAAGAAAGAAAGAAAGAAAGAAAGAAAGAAAAAGTGAAATGTAAAAAGAAAGAACTTTCAACTCTACGTAACCAGAAAAGATCGAGAAAAAAAAGAAAACAAGAATGTTAATAAAAAAAAATTTTTAAAGAAAGATAAGAATGTCTTATAAATTAAATTGCTTAATAAGCAAATTCAAATCGAAAATCTGATGCAATCATCGGATGGTCTTGCGTGTTGCCTGAACTACGATGAAAGAAAGTTACGGGAAAAAAATTTCTATTGGTATTTTGATTTATATACTTATTTATTTAAAAATTATTTAAAGTCACATAATATATCAAAATTGATTCCAAAAATACCGTCATTTCTTATATATAAATCATTTATTTTTTCTTTTTTTCTGTTTGATGTTAGAAAAAAATTTTTTTATGAAAAGAGAAATTTTGCTAAAAATCTAGAAGAAAGAAATAAATAAATAGATAAATTAATTAATTAATAATAATAATATGTTTCGTAACTCTTTTTTAATAAGTAAACACTTCATTCACTATTATTATTATTATTTAGTATTTTCTATATTTATGGGTGGAGAAAACGCGGTATCAAAACGTAAAAAATATTCAGTGAAATTTCAAGATGCTCTGATTTTAAAACTATTACAGATACAGATCTAATATTTGGGTTTGATCGATAATTTTGATCAAGGGACACCTGGGAATTTTCTCAGATTTTTCTGAGAGGCTTTTCTGTGGGCGTTGGTTCATTTCAGATGAAATGACCGACATGTGTATAGTGAGAAATTTCTATATATGTGGATATAGTGTCTTTCCTATAATGATAGATTCAAATACTCTAAATCTTTCTTTATGTAGAATTATTATAGTAATATATTATTATAGTATTATATTATTATTTTATTATATAATTTTATGTATTTATATTATTATAGTATTATCTTATTATAGGATTATATTATTATATTATCATAGTATTATAGTATTATATTATTATATTATTATAGTATTGTAGTATTATAGTATCATATTATTATATTATTATAGTATAATATTATATTATTATAGTATTATAGTATTTATTATAGTATTTATTATAAAACACCGAAAATTGCCCCATTTACTGAAAAGAACAGTTCGGTGAAAGAACTAAAACGTGAAACAAATTTCATAAACAACGGTATATATATATATATATATATATATATATATATATATATATATATATATATATACTGGTGTCTTATCAAGTGATGATATTGAAAAAGTGCCTCAACATATTATTATAGTATGATATAATTATAGTATTATCTTATATAAATTATATTATTTTCTATTTAAATTTATATATTGGTTGTGGAAGTAATCCATATTTTAAAGAAAGATATATATATATATATATATATATATATATAATAGAGAGAAGAAAGAAAGAAAAGAGAGAGAAGGTAAAAATATTTTGGTATATAATCCAAGTGACACCTAGTAATATAAAATATTAAAACTCATCCCCAAAAAATGAGCTTTACTA